AGAAAAACTTATATTAAAGTTTTTCTTCATTACCCATTTAAGCCGTCTCCAGCCATTATTAATATGTGTAGTATGATTCAAATATGTTTAATTTGCTTTCTCTTCATCCTAAACGATAACATAAAACTTACTGATCATTCAGTACTCGTACGAAAAACTAACATCATAGCTTGTCCTTAATAATCAAAATATTTTCACTATTATAAGTATTTATAATATTCTAAATTTTTAAAAAACCTTGTATACCATAATACAACAAACATAAATAATTGCCAAAAGTCCACATTCCTGGATTAATAAAATTAAATCCCTTAAATTGTCATTTCTACAAAATGTTTTTCAACATTTCAGGAGATAAGCGAAAGTATTCATCTGTGATGACAACAAGTGATGAAAACAAAACAAGAAAAAGACTAGAAAAATACAATTCAAGTTTTCTTCCATCAGGATCTTTAGGCACGATAAACTCTTCATTTGTCCATGACTTTGTCAAGCATTCTTCCAACAAGGACAAAAATGTGAGTGGGGAGTGTGGTTTTAAGACCTCTGATTCCTCCAAAGCGATGATTGTTGAATGTGTTCCACCAGCTGACAGAAATTCATTCCTGTATTCTTCACAAAAGGATAAAACTGATCTTCATAAAAATGGTAATCTCTCTAAAAACAAACTAGGAGAAGAAAGACAGTCATGCTTACTAAGTTCAAAATCTAATAACAAAAATAACAAATCACCTGTTCCAGGGCCTTCTCCATTAGAACAAAAGTTCTACCAGCTGGCTGCTATTGTTAAGAACGAGGTTACACACCAACCCAATGCATTACAAGTTATTCAAGTTAGTGTTAGCAAGTTACATTTGAACTCTATTTGGGTTTTTGATGAAGTTCCTGGTCAGAATCAAGGAAGTCCCAAATACTCGTGTTGTCTGTACATAGAAAATGTTTTAGTTGGAAACGGTGAGGGGAAAAATAAGAAATTAGCAAAATCAAAAGCATATGACAATGCTGTTGAGAAACTTCAAAATCCCAGGTTTCAGGTCTTGTCTACTGATAACAAAGGACAAGTAATACTAAAACTTTTAGCTTCAAGCTTCTCTCCAAGTTCAGCGGAACAATCTTTTGTGTATTCTTCAGACCTAAACATTTCTCAGTCTGGTGGAATTTATAACATGCTAAAACAATCCAGTCGACATCCTGGAACCTACCTGGATGATTTTATTGTTATCGATGACCTGGATATTAACAGAAGTGCTAATGAAATTACAGTTCTTATGAATACGGCATCTTTTAATCGTATTAACATCTCTTTCAACTTTTCTACAGCTCATAACACAGTGGAACATTGTATAAGGTGAGTTGTGATGGATGATAATTAAATTGAACAATTTTTAACAACAGCAAAATTGACCTTAGGCTTATACAACAGCCATTGTTTTGATATTTAAAAAAACTGTATTTCCTATGCTAACATAGGATTCACACTTACTGTCTGTAAAAAATGCACCCATTCTGACCATATGTACATGTTTGATGATTATTGTGAGGGATTGTAAAAACCGTTTTTGAATAATAAAAGGGTACACTTATGTCATGAAACAACATTAACCCTCTCAAATTAGGTGAAAATGTACATGTCACAATTTTTTACAGAGTTACATCAAAAATATAATTAAACTACTTTATTTTCAATGTATATGAATACACTTAGTATCAAATTCTAATTAATAAATCTAAAAAATGCTGAACAAATGTCACATTACACAGATGAAGGGAGACCTAGAATTTAATTAAATATTTTCTTTGAAATTATAAAATTAAAACTTAAATAATTAGGCTATCTGCGCTAGCCGTCCCTAATTTAGCAGTGTAAGACAAGAAGGAAACAACTAGTCATCACCACCAACTCTTGGGCTTCTTTTTTTACCAACAAATAGTGAGACTGACCATCACATTATAATGCCCCCATGGCAGAAAGGGCAAGCATGTTTGGTGGGATGAGGAATTGAACTTGCGACCCTCAGATTGCAAGTCAAGCATCCTAACCACCTGGCCTATACATGAAAGAGAGTATGTAATAGGAAAGCATGGCAAGTGAGTTTGATTTTCTGGTTTATAGTTCTGAAAACAAAGATGATTGAAAACTATAAAAATTAGACTATACCTTAATAATAATATTGATATTATACTGAGTAATTACTTTAGTTCTGAGCATTTTTTCCATTTGCTGCACTTCCCAAAATGCTGAACTCGTTGGCTGTAGGTATAAAGCCACTATTTTAAAGACTGTGATTTAACAGTTTGAAAGTTTGTGGATTCACAAAAAAATACATCCAGAATTGAATGTCAATCAAATCAATAATTATGTTAAACTCAGGAAATCATAGAGGGGTGATGAAAAAATAGAAAATGGGCAAGTCAACTCGTGTAGCTTTGTGCAAAATTCCAAACAAACCAAACTTTTATGTATTGTTGATAATTCTCTCATTTATAACTAATTATGTTAAATACTACCTTGTCCTCAGTGAAGATCTTTTATCTTCCTTGCAGATTCAAAATTGCTATTAATGAGTTCTGATTAAGGATCTAATGGAATTATTTTAAATCACTTATGCCTTAGTTAGAAAGCCAGTTAAATCATAATAGTTATAGGACATTGTTTGCTTTGTGCATGTTATTATTTTATGTACTTAAGGTCATGTATGGAACAAAGATTATTTGATGTACTAGTACCAACATTATAAAACAGTAGGCTTAATTTCCATCAGTGGACCAACAGCAAAAAAACAAGGCCAAATGTAAGTACTAAATTTCTTGATTTTTTTGTATATTTTTTATTTATTGTTATAAAGTAACTACAATGTAAAAATTAAAAAATTGTAAAAAAAATTCTCCACAAGGTATTATCAGAAGTAACGTGTGTTTATGTCATTCAATACCATAATTTGAGCTTGTCATGTGATTTACAACTTGTATCGCAAGATTATTAGTTAAACAAAAAGCAATAAAAATTGTAAAAAACATATATAAACAGTTGATAGCTCTTCAGAATATATAATTGTAATTTTCTGTTACACTTTGTAGTCATTCTAGAAAGCTAAAGGGTACTTTAAATTTATTTCATATTTTTTCCAGTGGTTACAAGGTTGGTTAAATTGACCAATTTCCATATAGTGTTAAGGTTGAAAATATAACAGATAAAAATATAAATATGTACTGAAGAAAAACTTGATATTCATTTAGGAGGTTTTAGAGGCTAGGCTAATGAAATTTGTAAACTGTAAGATGAAAAAAAAAGAACTTTTAATTTTAATGTGAAAATTGCATTGTACTCAGACTAGTCAGAGTTTGAGTCGCACTCAGACTCCATACATATATTCCAGATAAATCAAAAAACCTGATCTTTTGTGTGCAGAAGGCTTGTAATGTTTACTAAAAGTTTGCCAAACTTTGTGAAGATGCATGTTCAACCTGGTGGGTGCAAGATATATCAAAGTTACTGAGCCTGTATTGATAGAATTAAATAATTAAATGGTAGGTTCGTGTATCAAACATGTACAGTTGCTTGTGTAATGTGTATTGTACAACATACGTTTAAGTCTTTTATCATATATATATTTGTCACATGAATAAGTTTAAACATTCTCCTCTTCATTTAAACAGTAATGCTTTAAGTTTGTCATTTAACATTTTCTACACGGTACTTTATCTCAGATTTCTGTGTCTTCATGCACTGGGTAGTAACCTCATTTATCAATTCTTCTGATCACAAAGAAAGTTTTCCATGATATGTTACTGCATTCTGTTAAATGTTTCAGTAAACTACAAACTTGGTTGATCTGATTGTTTGTTATTGGGTTATAAAAGCTATTTGTCTAGCATATAGAAACTACAGCCTTATAAGTACTTTGGCTTAATTGTACAAAAATATTATGAACGAATGTTAGGCTTGGTCTAGTCCTACTCCAAATGAAATCAGTTCAAGGTATATTTCTGTTTTCTCTAACTTGCTGTAGTACAGAGACCAGAATAGACTATAGGTATATAAAAATATTTCCCAGAACCAGTCGTACATAATACTTGATGTGTGTGCGTGTTTGTTTATTTTTTTCCCCACATTTGTTTGTTATATAGACAGTCTTGGCTTTACTAAACACTTTATAAGGGTTAAAAAGTTTGTTGTTGTACCAAACTTACAGATAGTAGAGAGCGTACAAGGAATACATGTAGCTTTTATTTCCTGCTATAATTGAAAGCATTTATGAGAAATTTGCATAACTGATTGCAAATGTTTGTAGTTGGAAGGAAATTGTCACTTGACTGAAAATATGATAGACTACTATTATTATCAAAGTTTATGCTAAGGCTGCTTATTACAAAGTGCACAGAATATTTTATAAAGTATTGCTGAGAATGCCATTATTAAACCTGTTTCTACACACAAGTGTCTTGAATCAGCAAGTTGCATTGTTTTAAAAGCATTTACATGGTTTATACATGTTATAAAAAGGTTTGTCAGACTTAAGTATGAAATATTACATTGTTTCATAATGTAACGGGACTTTAAGTTGAACAGAAAATGTATTAATTTACATGAGATCCTCAACACAGCTCTCAGAAAACCACTTGTAACTGTCACACAGTTATTAGCTTGATGTTAGGTTAACACCACTTAAGTGGATGAAAAGTTTATGTGGTATAATAACACAACCAGTAAGAAGCTTGAATCTTAAAATGTTGGGTGATATCCTGTTGTTGTTTTTTATATGTGACTGATTGTTAGAGATTACATAGCATTGAAATTACTGCACGTGTATTCATATTTTAAAAACCAAAGAGTAGTAAAAGACTGAGATGAATCATTCCCAAGTTACATGTATTTATACTATTTTTTATTATAATCATGGTTGACTAGTATTTTACACTTAATACATTAAATACTTATGGAAACTCTTAAATCATTGATTTTTAAGTCTTTTTATTTGTTAATGTAAAAGGGATGGTTTATAAATTGTTTTCACTTACATTAACATTTTTAGACATATTAGTTATAATTGGTTAATTCACATTGTACATGTAACTGTTGTATGAAATTTCTGGCTTTTGAGCACTGAATGTGTTTTTCATCAAAATGCACAGAATTACTGATTTAGTTTTCATGGACAAGTATTAACAATTTATGAGATATATAAGTTATTGTAACTATATTTTATAAAATACTGTGTAGAACCACTATATGAGAAACACCATTATATTCAAGTGGTAAAAATGTGTGTGTGAAGATTATATGTTTTGTATGATGATGTTCAAAAAAGTAAAAATGTGTTATTTTATCCTGAGCTCCAGTAAAATGAAGAAACAAACTGCTTTAGTTGTGTTTTTGTGGCTTGAAATTAACAGATCAATCTGCTAAAGGATAAATATTTTTGTTTTTTTAAATATAATTATTTTTGTATTAACTAGTATAAGTTAATATACATGTAGTTCACACAGTATAAATAGCAGTTCTTTTCTTTAGTCCTCTTTTTCTGCTCCCCAGTGGCACAGCGGTATGTCTACGGACTTACAACGCTAGAATCCGGGTTTTGATACCCGTGGTGGGCAGAGCATAGATAGCCCATTGTGTTGCTTTGTGCTTAACTTCAAACAAACTTGTCCTCTTTTAAATTTTATTGTTTGTAGAGGGACAAGCTATTAACTTCTTGATACATTAATGTAACACTACCTTCTTTTGCAAATATGTTTATGATGAAATTTAGTTGAATGGACGACAATTGGCTGATAGTTTCCCAGCACCTATTTCAACAGTCTAATAACACAGAAATGGATCTCTTGCTTCAGCTGACAACTTTCTCAATATATCTTTTGTATAGAACAGTATGAATACACTTTTCATTCTCCAGCTGCTTAGGTATGCAGTGGTTGAACAAATGTGTTGTGGAATCATCTTGTGTCCACGTCTTATGTTGCTTTTCTAGATAGTTTGCACTTGATTATAATTATAATGTGTACTTGCCTGGAGCAAATAGACAGCTTTTGCTTCTCACTCTTACTTACTACAAGACACCTCGCTTTGCTTATTATGGCTAAGATAAGACTTGTTGTGGATCTCTTTCTGGATGGGTCTGGTACCTTTAGTTGATCTATATTCTATAGTTTTCCAATGCGTTTAAGAAGAACATATCTCCATCTTCAAAATTCTAAATCCCAATGTAAATAATCTTTATTATCTGATTATATGAATATTTAGCATCAGAAAGAGCTGTTACAAAATTGATCAATTTTCAGTGGCATCACACAATCTATGAAATATTAAACAGCATGAAAATGTAATTCTGATACATGACATTCTATCACAACTTTATATTGGCACATGACATGGTGATTTACATATTCAAAAAATGTTTTAATATAATGTACTCAACCCTCCATAGTTAGCACTTAGATCTTTTACAAATGTTCTTTGT